TATGTAGCAGACTCCGAATACCTAATATTCCCTTATAAAAGGCCTTGTTTTAAACACCAAATACAGAGGCAGATCAAAGCCCAGCCTCTCATTTCTCTAACAGCCCTCAGAAGGCTCCGCCAGCCAGCCCAGTGCACGCACACGCGGGGCTGACACCAATCCAAGGTACATAATTGAACTCTGCTAATTTGTCAAAACCATCACCGTGTGCTACGGAAACAGCCAGGTGCCTTGTTCACAGAGACCTTGGCTGAGGAGCATCCCAAAGCTGTGCCCTGCCTTCCCCAGGGTGCTGGGGGGTTGGTCAATGGCCATGCATGAAATCAGAGTGGGATCTTTGCCTCTTTTGGCAGGTGATGCTCACAGAGATGATGCTGGAGGGGTGAAGCAATGCCAGATCTGAGAGTGGGGGAGCAGGCTGASGGGGGTGCAGATGCYAGAGGCAGCTTGAGGAGCAGGAGMTGGCTGGGGACATCCCAGGAGACARCCCAGGTGTGGGGACRCRGTGCTGGGTGCYCTCCAGCACATCTCAGCCATCACAGGACCAAAAGCAGCCCTTTGCCTTTGCACCCCACGCTCTGCTTTGTACCCAGGCAACCCTCTGCATCTGATCTCCACCTGATGGCAAAGTGACACCAGCCCCAAGGGTTTGGCAGCAGCTGTGGGGACCCCAGCAGGTCCAGGAGCTCAGATACCAGGGCTCCCAGCAGGTCCCCGAGGCTCTGTTAATAATTAGGCTGCAAGGGAGGGCAGAGCGTCTATGGGCTGCCAAGACCAATGGGCTTGGGATACCTCAGCCCTTCACAGGGTCTCCATATGACACCATTGCTTTTCCTGCCTCAACTTCCCCCAAACCAGGAAACTGAATGCTGCACATTTCTGTGTTACAGAGCAGCTGCTCTGTGGCCCGAGAGAGCAGAGAGAAGTGCAGGAGTCCCACTTGTGCCTCCCCTCCAGCAAGGAGAGGCTCATTAGACTCATGGAACCCTTAATGAGGTGGGCAGGGAGCCTGGAATGGCCTTGGAGTTTCAATGCTGTTTTTTCCCCCACACCTTTCACTRTTTTATTTCCCCATCTGGCAGGTGCTGCCTGTGATCAGGGGAACTCGGGGCTGCACAGTCAGACCTGGAGCTGAATGTATTTTGCTGGGCAGAAGGCAAACCCCACCCCAGAGCAGAAGGGRTTTGTGCACAGGGCTCTGCCTCCTCGCTTTAGGGGCAGTTTTGCTGCTAATATTTTCCACTGGAACTCAGAGTTGGACCTGACTGAACACATCCCACCCTGCTCCAGAGACAGGAACTAAGCATCAAAGCTTTGCTATGGCCCTGATGGCCAGCGGGGGATGTGGATTCACATCTTTACAGCACTGTCAGGTTCTCTCTCACAGAGACTTCAGYGCTGGTGGAAGGTGTGATGAGCGACAGCCCTGAAGAGGAGAGCCATGTGCACACCACAGCCAGCACACAGAGAGATTCCCACATTCCCTGGGAGTAGGAAAGGGGACAGCCAGCCCCCATGGGGGGCACTCAGCGCCTTGGTGTGCACAGAATCTGTGCAAACAGGTTGCAAGAAAATCTGATTCTGGAAATCCTGGAGGAGTCAGTGCTGAGGGTCAGCAGGAATGACCCAAGCAGCCACCCCTGGTCACAGCTGAGGGTCACTGCAGCCTCTGAGCACAGAGCTGTGCACAGCCTGACAGCCTCCCTGGGGTCTTGTTTCACTTGGGAAAGCAGCAGCTCCCCTGAACCTGCACRGCACTGGAGCAGAGCTCACACTGATCCACCAGAAAGGCAGAACACACAGAGCTGCTGTGGGCACAGACAGGGACTGTGGGGAAGACAAGGGATGTCTCACCAAAGATTTGGGTATGAACAGAGCTCTTCTTGGCATGAGCTAGCTCGCCTGGAGACACCAGGGACCAGCAGGGCCTCTCCCAGCTCAAAGCCCAGAGATGGGGCTGAGCCCAACAGCAGACACAGACCAAGGAAAGTGTCCTCTGCTTTACTCCTTACACTCTCCTCCCCTATAATTTCCTTGGAGACTTTCCAAAGACACAGTAACATCAGAGTAAGGGCATCCYACAGACCTAGAAGCTGGGAATGAGTGTGGCAGCGTGTTGTGACCACAAAAGGTGCTGCCTCTTACTCCTCCAGGTATTCCTGCACTGAAAACCAGGTTATCAGTGKGTCTGCTGCTCCTGAGCTACCAGAACAAGCTCTCCCTGGCTCAATATTATCCCATGGGAATGTCTCCATAGCACACCTTGCCAAAGCAGTGCACAACCTGCTGTCCTCTCCTTCTCCAGGAGATGCAGGAGGCCACTTAACTGAGCTCAAGTAAAAGCAAACCCAAGCATCTCCTAAGTGGGAATTTCATGTCACATCGCCTGGGATCAATGCCTTGACAGTACAAGTAATTAGGCTCAATCCTGCAAAATCTTACCCGAAGAGAGAAACCCCAAGGAATCCCTCTCCTCGGACCTGCTAACTGTCTGAAGGCACCTGCAACGCCACACAAGCTCAGTGAAATCAATAGGGGAACATCATTGTAAGAATTAACTGTATCTGACGATGCATCCTTCTCTATTAGARCTACGATCCCGTCCAATTATGGATCTTGGCTGAACTCGTAATTATGAGTTTGGTACTCCGACTTCCCACTACGCTATTGCTTTGCTTCCGTGAGGGAGAGGAGAGTCAATGAAAGGATAATGGAAAATTCCTTTCAAGGATGCAGCAATGGCCAAATTTATCTAGACAGGAGGAGGGAGTACAATGGGGACTTTATGCAAGACAATTCCCTYGGTCAGCCCCCAGTGAACACGAACAAACCAGGTTCTCTGAGCATCGCTCAAACGCYGAGGCAGATCTAACAGGCAGCTCTGCCTCCTGAATTCCCTTCAAACCCAGCCATCAAAGCTGCCCAGGTGAACAACAGCTCATTCACGGGGAAAGAAAGGGATTCTTCCCATTCATCTGCTCCTTTGTGTTTGCCCTACAAGGAAGCTTAAACCAACAACCAAAAACCAACACGRACGTCAATAAAAATATCTTTGTGCCCAGCATCCAGTAAGAGCCTTTTTCAAGAGCCTGACAGAGCACTTGACCTCAAGGGGAATGGCATCAAGGCAGCCTTGCAAAGATTTATCTGCCTTTCATTAAAACACAGCTTTCCATACTTTCCCTGTGTGCTACCACCCGTTTCCCTGGTGGAAGCTGAAAAAAAACCCTCAAACTTTAGGGACTTTTCCAAAGTACTCAAAGGCTATCACACCCAGCCCAGTATTTTAGAAAAAGTCACTAAAAATTCACATCTTTACAGCACTTGGGAAATWTGATCCTTGCAATGTTTTGGGACAGTTTCTTTTGTCCCTGTTTGCAACACAACCCATTCCTTCCTTCTGTCACACAGGCACGAAGATGATCAGAGGGATGGAACACCTTTCCTGTGAGGAAAAGCTGAGAGAGTTGGGATTGTTCAACTTGGAGAAGGATTAGGGGTGACCTAATTGCAGCCTTCCAGTGCCTGGAGGGAGCTGGAAAGGGGCTTTGGACAASGGCATGGAATGACAGGACAAAGAGAATGGCTTCAAACAGCAAAAGGGAAGGGATGRATGGGATATTGGGAAGGAATTGTTCCCTGTGAGGGTGGGCAGGCCCTGGCACAGRGTGCCCAGAGAAGCTGTGGCTGCCCCTGGATCCCTGGCAGTGCCCAAGGCCAGGCTGGACATTGGGGCTGGGAGCAGCCTGGGACAGTGGGAGACCATGGCAKGGGCGTGGAACAASATGRTCTTTAAGGTTCCTTCCAACTCAAACATTCTGTGATTCTGACTCTGTGATTTTCAGCTGTGTTTGTGCTGCAACAGGTAAGGAACTCACAAATCCTCTCCTCCTTTTCATCAAAAGCTCATTTTAAACACAGCACTGACTACTTTCAGTTCTAAAACACACGAAAAAGAAGAAGAAAAAAACAAAACCAACCCAAACACATAAAACTGGAAGCCCATCCTTTGAGCAGCRTGCGTGAGTTTATTCCCGTGTGCCGCCATGGAGCTGATCACAAGCACTGAGGCAATTTCACATTCAAATAAACACASAGGAAGCGTTTATGGGAATGGCTCATCATGGAAACAAATGGGGCCGTGCGCTGCCGCGGTGGGCACCGGCATCTATCTGGCTGCCGCGCTCTGCCGAGGCCCGGCTCCCTGCRCTGAACAAATGGAGGGAGAGGACCCACTGTGCAATTTTTAAATTGCTTCCCAACGGAGTTATTTCCCGACAGCGATTTTTCAAACCCAGCAGCAGCGGCGGCAGCAGCAAAACTCGTCCTTYCCTCCTCCACCAAACAGCTCGGGCTGAGAGGAGAGAGTCCTGAGCACGAACTGATCCGGGGTGACCGCGGGAAACGCGGGCACTGATTTCAAACTGAGGATGATATTTCGGTTTCTCGGCTTCTCTAACTCACAAAAGAGCCTGAAGGGACTYGGGTCTACAAATCCCTGCCCCAACCCTCATTTTGAATTTGTTCCTTTTAATTGCCTTTGTGCCAAGAGGAAAGCTGGGAAATTTTCATCCAACGGATGCTTTGCATGGGAAATAAAGGGCAGAAAACAGGAGTTCAGAGCGAGGGATTGCCAAGGTAACCAACCCTGACAGCTGCACTGGTGCCAGGGCGATGACAGACACAATCAGTCCCCACTGGTGCAGCTTTGGGKAAGTGCCAGGGCATGTGGAGGGTAACTGATATTAGAAACCAGCAAAGAAACCACAAAGCTCAGCAACATCCCCGGGAAATGGGATTTATGGCTCTGCATGGTGCTGCTCCACAGAAACAGCACATCTAGGGATGYCCTTACCACACAGACTGCTGTGGCTGTCCTTTAGACTCGGGCAGAATCAGACACTGTCACCAATGGGGACAGTCAAGGTGCTGGGGGTTTTTTGTTTTTTGTTTGTTTTTTTCCCCCCTGGAAAGTGTGGGATCACAGGGTCCTTCTGTACCTTTGCTTCGCCTCCGGCTCCGGTACTGCTCCGTGTAGAAGGTGAGCTGYGTTTCATCGTCCGCCTCTGAGCCTGAGTTGCCTTTGGCACGGCCAAACCCGATCCCACCTGCAGGGAACAGAGAGGAGAAGATCAGCCCTGGYAGCTGGGATGCTCAGGAGCAGGCAGAGCCAGCATCCCCCACTCCTGGTTAAGGTGTTTTTTTTGCTTGGGGTCACCAGGAGTGACCAGGAACTTTCACCATTCATGATTTCATCCAAAATCAAGACCCCACGGTGACTATTGTGGTGTGGATGCAAGAAGATGCTTTCTAGCCTCAGAAATATAAAATACAAATGGATTTCAAGGGACTGGCAGAGAAAACCCATGAGCATGGCAGCTGCTCTCCTCAAGGACACCTGCAYGGTGAAGTTTGGTGAATTTTAGGCGTTTGCTTCAAAGCAAAATCAGCAGGGACAAGCAGTACAGGGTGAACACAGCATTGGGGGGCACCCAGCACCCTTCTGAGGGTCCTTCCTGCCTCCCTCAGGACCCACTGTGGCCCATCTGCTCCCCCAGCTCGCTGTGACAGCCAGCAGCACATCCCTGCAGTGGTCAGGACCGACAGAAGCAGGGCTGGCCCTGGTTTCACCCGGCTTCCTCCTCTCTGGGATGCAGCAGGAGCCCAGCTGGCTCCATCCCCAGACCCACCAAGGAGCGACGGATGCTTAAAAAGCACCACAGACTCTAATTGGCACAAGTCCTTCAATCTTTGCAGAGCTTAAAGCAAAGAGGCCTCTGGGGGCTGACAGTGGCCCTTTAAACTGCCATTAAAATATTTTACTGTTTTTAAAAAATCTTTTATTCTAGGCAGCAGCGCAATTTCCCCATTTCTTGGCAGGAGCACAGAAAATGAGCGGTGCCTTCTGCCCTCTGAAATCCTTAATCACGGTGATGAGAGGTGGCTGGCAGGGACACCAGGAGCTCGGCACGTGGCTCCTGCCCTGGCCATGCCCTGACCCGGCCAGGCAGTGCCCTCCAGGCAGCCCCACCAGCAGGGCAGGAGAGGCTCTGAGAGTTCCTGTCCTCCTGGAAGCAGCAGGAAGGGTCAGTGCTGGAATACGGCAGGATTTGGTGTTTGTTCAGGGGGGCTGAGGGTTAGAGATCCCAAATCTGACCCCCTGTCAGCCCCTCCTATAAACCCCAAACCATGACCCACCTTCAGACCCTCCCACAGACCCCAAACCAGACCCACTGTCAGCCCCCCTTATAGACCCCAAATCAGACCCACTGTCAGCCCCTCTTACAGACCCCAAACCAAACCCACTGTCAGCCCCTCCTATAGACCCCAAACCATTACCCATCATCAGGCACAAACACCACAACAAACACCCAATGCCTCAATAAACCCGCACCGAGGGGTCTGAAAGGCACAGCAGAGTGGTAAAACCAATCAGTCTTATTTGCAGCAGTGAGGGAAATCTTAATTAACCCGGGTTCCTAATGCAGGCCCTTGGGCAAGCAGCCAGGGCTGCAGCCCTGCTACACATCCCCTCCTCACAGAGCAGGGGCTGCAGCAGTGGCCAGGGCTGGGGGACACACACCAGCTCTGGGAGGGTCCCCCACCCCTGAGAGCTCAGCACAGCATCAACCCTGCTTGGGAGAGGGAGGACACAGCACTTCCCTCTGTCACCTTCCCGTGCTCCAGAGCTGTCCCTTTTCACACAAACAGATGGCTGGGGTGGGCAGAGCCAGTGCTGAYGCCTGTGCCCACCCAGGCCAGGAGCAGTGGCGCTCTCTGTGCTGTCACAGCCCGCTGAGGTGACCAGGCAGCTGGCACAGGCAGCAGCTGCTCCGCCAGCCACCGGCCCAGCCCCCTCCGGCCGCTCGGCGTTTGTGTGCCGCCTGCGTCTCCGTGATGGATGGAGCTGACATGTTAAATTACTCAGGCTGGATGTCTTCAGAGAGCTGGTGACAGCGATATTGCATTTTCTGATTACCCAGCACTGAGCAGGATGTATAAATACAGCAGTTKTGAGACCCGGCACAGGTCCCCAGCCCGCAGAGGAAACGTCTCCTCTGACCCAACATGCAGTGCCAGAGGTCAGCCTGGAAACACGAGCCTGGCTGCCAGGGATGTGCTTTTACACCTCTGTGCCATCAGGGATGCTGCCACACACCTTGGTGGTGGGTTTGACACCTTAGAACCCAGCTGAGGCAACCTGGAGGATGCAAGGAYGCTAATCCTCAAGTAATCTGGCCATGAACCTGATTTCGGTTTAACTGGCCCCAAAATCTGGCCAAATCAGCCCTGTGAGACATTTCCAATTGGGCAATGCCTCCTGCCCCAGCTCCACAAGCAGCCTTGGTCACTCACCAGGACACAGGGCTGAGGATAATCGCCATGGGGCCAAGGATGCTCACAGTTCATGAGCAGTGGGTGAAAAAGGACAGCACGCCCCTAAAGCCAAGCAGCCCTGCCTGGTCAGCATCCCCTTTCCTCTAAAAACAGCGAGAAAACCACCAARAATCAGAAGACAAAAAGATCCTCATCACTGCAATCAGTTACAAATCAGAATAAGATGTTTAAAAGGCAGGAACAGGGAAACTGCAACTTCTCAGAGCTGGGGATCAGAAATGCACTGACAACTCTCTGCAGCAGCTCCCACGGGGAGATAACCCAGATTACTCCACCCCCTTTACACCCAGTTTACTCCACTCTCTTTACAGCCAGTTTACTCCTGCTTTTTAAACTGGAGAACAAACAAAGCTCCCTTTTCACACCTGGCCCCGTTTCCCCCGTTTTATGATGCAGTGGGGTAGGAGCAGGCAGGGAGGGGGAGCTCAAGGAAGATGCTCGTGTTTCTAATCCTGTTTGCAGATTTACAAGCTCGTTAATCCCTTCAAATGGATCTCAGCTCAGCCAGGCGCCAGGGCAGGGTGCTTATTCTGAGCGCAGCATTAATTTAGCGGGGAGCAAGGCGGGGTGCCAAGGCAAACACCTCGTTAGGTGTCATTAACGATGGTCCCGCTAATTCTGACTGGGGATAAGGAAATAAAAAAATAAAATAAAAATTCAGGAATCAGAGGCTGCGTTATCCCCAACGGCTTTTTGTTAGCTGAAGCCACGTGTTGTGTTTTTTAAAGTGAGGGTTTTGTCATTAAAGAGGAAATAAAAAGCAAACATGACATTTTTAATCCCTTCCCCGAAGCCAGGAGGTCGCAGAACATCTCGGGGAAAGAACTGTAGATGTAAAAGGAATCAAAACTGAGTTAAAATAAAGAAACAARTAACAGCAACTATTTGGATAACTCCTATCTGAGGTCAAGCTGACCTCAGACATTTAATTCTGCCGAGTTGAATGTTATAATAGAAGTGGAAGCTTGATTTTTCCCCCAGCAGTGCCACCTTGGGTGACATCTTTGTGCATCCCTCTGCCCTGCAGCCACTATTGATGGAAAAAGGATCTTCTGCATCCTTTTCTCCAGAAAAAGGGCCAAACCTTGTACATACCACAGAATTCACGACCCATGACTTCCTGATTGACCACGTTGGGTTCATCCCACTCCACACTCACTCACACCATGCAATTTTGTCTCCTGGGTGTTCAACAAGCTCCTGTGTTCCCAGGAGCTGGGAGGAGATGATTTTTTTCCCAATACAAACTGGATGTAGAAAACCCTGCCCAGCACARCAGCGAGGTCCGTGCACTAAGAGCTGGCAGGGCAATGCAATTAGCTAAGTGGAAATTTTCAGTTTAATTAATTTAACCCTGAAAAGAGCACCAGCCAACTGGAAAAAAACAACCGAAATGTGGTCAGAGAAAGGTAAATTATATTCAGATCTAAGGAGGGGGAAAAAAAAAATAATATACAAATATTTTCTTTTGAAACTTA